AACTCTGATAAGATCAATKATTTTCTTTTTACCAGGCCTTTTCWGCCAGTAATATCCAATGCCAAGTTGTTACAGGTGGGGGGACTGGTACCTATCCTTTTGAGGCTGCTAGTGGAGGTAAAGTKCCATATATGGTAATACATAAATAAATGTCAAGAAGACATACAAGATGTTAGGCTTCTTAACTTTGCACATATTAAATGCTTCATTATAGCTCAAATTAGCATAAATGTCACATGACATCATCTCGTCATATTGATAGACTGCCAGCCTTGTTCATTATACGATTGAAACGATTGATAGTTAAAGATTAGCAAAGAAATACACAATGTTTTTGCAAAATGTTTCTATTATGAAATGCTTTTTTCTTTGACAGTGTTCACCGAGGTTCAACCAATATCCTTCTGTAATATTTGTAWCGAGGGAGGAGAGGGTGGAGGCAAGGAACAGTTGGCTCAGGGATAGTGAAATGAAGCAGAATCTTTTATTTGAYCTGCATTGCAGCAACTTGAATTGTGCATTGTGTATCACTTAGCTGTCACTACAAACAGGTTTCTCAATTTTGGCTGCCTGTTCTGCCTTTGTCTTTCCTCCACTTTCCTGAGCRCGTACTTTACTTATTTTCAACAAAGACTGTTTCACTGTATTTCTCCATAAACTTGTTTCACAAAACCAACGCAATGAAAGAATTATCTAAGACAATAACACACTGAAACAGTGCTTTATAATGTATTGAAGATCTCTCTACTCTCTACAGGAAATGTTTTACCAGTATTTGAATGCTAACCTTATATTGTATAAATTCAGTGTTATAGTCCTATGTTTGAACCTTAATGTTGTTCAGGGTTCATATATCTTCATGGATGCTGATTATGGGCGAAACTATGGAGAAGATGGTCAACCGTTCGTCTTTTTTGAACAGAGTCTGTATGTATTAAGCACAGTCATCAGTGTTAGTGTGAGTACGAGGTTTTACTAAATCCGTGAGTGGTACAAGTGGTACCTTATCATAGTCGAGCCTAACCGCGACCAACTCGTTACAGGAAAAAGGCCTTTGAAACAAGGTTGTGACACACTAGCTCAGCTAGGGAATCAGTTCTTTTAAGCCCGCGCCCTATGAGCATTTTAAAAAAAGGCACGCTCRTACTTTTTTGTCAATGGTTGGGCTGTGTATATGAGAATCGCAAACTGAACAAACTGCATCTTAAGAATGAACCCACTGTYTACTTGCTACTAAATGCTATTGTTGCGTTTCAAGTTGGATGACCTCAGCCTAGTACCCAGACGTTCCTTAYAGACGTCATTTAAGCTTAGAAACAAGGAAGGGCTAGGTACTAGGTTGGACGATTTGAGTGTAAAACGAGGAATGTCGCCTTCAAAGTTTAACACCAACTATGTTGTTATTTGACATTGTGCATTTTTGGTTGTCTTATTTCGCCTTTAATTGAATTATTGACTTATTGTTTAATATCATTTCACGATCTTTCAGCCTATCTTCCTAGATGCATCGTGCTTTATTCTGTCCTTTATAGCCGCTTCTTCGCCCTATTTCTTTCAACCTGCCCTTGCTTCCTTCAATGACAACTTTTATCAGTTGCTGCGGTTTGTTATATTGTGTCATTGTTTTGGCAGCCTGGTAAACGTGCTATCTTAGATGCAGGAATGAAGGCAGTGAGCTTGGATTCTGGTCCTCCATTGGTAATTTGTAGCATTTTAAATCAATGCCGGATTTTCTTTCCGTCTGTGCATCTCCGTCTGTCTGTCTTCGTCTATGACATTGTTTCTTTATTCAGGTAAAGGACAATGCAGAGCTGATTTTCAGCAATGGAGGTGACGAACATGGCATCCTACGACCATCAGGCAATTTGAAGGTATATACAGCTATTTCACTGAAAACGTTGAATATCAAGAACGAACTGCATTGTGGGTCATTCTATCGCCTTCTGAAAGGAGTTTTTATGGTTTCAGAGCGACTATAAAATCTCAGTGCAGTCGAGGAATTCAGTAGAAAGCAATTGAGTTTAGAAAGTCTTGGAATACTGTAAACTCCCCGGGATAGTCCGGGATAGTCCGGGATTGTCCGGGATAGTCCGGGATAGTCCGGGATAGTCCGGGATAGTCCGGGACTCTCAAGATTTTGGGCGGTATTTCCCCACTATCTTTTTTCTTTTGGTT